AGCTACCTTTTTTTTAAAAAAAAAAAAAAACATGTCCTGCAGTAATTTTAGATTTAGTTCAATTATCTATATCTAGAAGCCCATCCAATGAGAACTGCTATTGATAGATATGATCCTCAGGCATGACAAGAGTTTCAATTTTCAGAGTAAGAAAGGATTATATTTGAATATTGTCTTTTGTTAAGTTTTTAACCAAAAGTTTCACCAATACATCATTACCCAGAAATTCTAAATAGTAAATTATAAGGTAATTTATTTCTTGTCAAGCATCTCATATATTATTACTATGTATAATGTTGTGCTATTTGCTGCAATTATTTAAAACGTTTTGGCCGGGCATGGTGGCTCAAGCCTGTAATCCCAGCACTTTGGGAGTCCGAGGCAGGCAGATCACTTGAGGTCGGGAGTTCAAGATCAGCCTGACCAACATGGAAAAATCCCGTCTCTACTAAAAATCCAAAATTAGCCAGGCATGGTGGTGCCTGTCTGTAATCCCAGCTACTTGCGAGGCTGAGGCAGGAGAATCGCTTGAACTCAGGAGGCGGAGGTTGCAGTGAACCCAGATCGCGCCATTGCACTCCAGCCTGGCCAACAAAAGCAAAACTCTGTCTCAAAAAAAAACCAAAAAACCTTTTACACCTCAAGGTATGTTATCCTAACATACATATATAGTATTGAAAATAGGTATTCTAAACCTTCATAGTTCTCTAAAGTCTAGAAAAGCCAATCAAGAGAAACAGCACAATAAAGGTACCATCAAAAGACCCAGGAGAAGGAAGATTGTCATAAGAGACACCAAATATGACAAGAACACCTTTTACATTATTTGTACAAGGAGGGACACCAACAGGAGTGAAATAAAAAAGGAGAAATTTTGAATCTGGAAGTCTACTTCTGTGTTTTAGAAACAGAATGACTTAAGTGCTTTCTCCCAATCAACTGTGATAATGACATTTTTAACTGTTTTCCATTGCTAGATTTTTGGACTCATTCTTCTCAACTGATGCTCTGTAAAAAGCAATTACAGACAATGTTCCATTATCAGTAGGAAATAATCCATCCCAGGCTGGCTTTACCTACCACTCTAATGTACCTCTGATTTGCCTTCTACTTCTCCTCAATATGTGTGCAAGGAAAATGTACTAATTTTATATTTAGCCTAAATGAAGCATTATTAAAGGTAGATGTTACAAAAATGTCAATGTTTTATATTTTTATGTACCTAAATTTAAGTTTCAGCTCAGCTACTTACTAGCTTCGTCAAGTTAATGAATCAATTTTCTTACCTCTCTCTAAGCTTCACTTTCCTTATCTGAAAATGGGATAGAACAATCTTACCTACTTTGTGGTAATGTCCTAAGGATCAACTGAAACAATACATTTAAATGTTTTAGTTTCATGCCTTCGGCATAAGTATACAGTAGATGAAAACTATAGTTATTCATAAAATAATTTGTTCACTGTAAGGTCATTACAGTCAAACTAAGATAATATAGAAAATACATAATATTCAGAGTATAAGTAGACTTCTCTCAAAGTAGAGATATTATCCTCAAAGTTTTCAGTTTAACTTTTGGTTGTTACTTTTAATCAAACCATATTTCTCTGATATCCTATTATATTATGCTGTTACTTAAAAATAATATATGTCCATTTATAAATAAGTTTTTTTGATTGACAGATAAAATTGTATGTATTTAGCATGTACAGCACGATGTTTTGAAGTATATACTCATTGTGGAATGACTAAATCTAGCTAATTAATATGTGCCTTACCTCACGTGCTTGTGTGATTTGATTTAGAGGTTCAGGACATAAACAGGAATGAGCAAAGAAGACTGAAAAGGAGTGGCCTGAGAGGTAGGAGGAAAACAAGATGAATGTTGAGGAGACAAAAAAAAAAGTGTTTCAGATTGGAGAAAATAATCAACTGCATAGAATGCTGCCGACAGGTCAATTATGATGAGAGGCTAGGCATGGTGGCTCACACTTGTAATCCTAGTACTTTGGGAGGCCAAGGCAGGCAGATCACATGAGCTCAGAAGTTCAAGACCAGCCTGAACAATGTAGCAAGACCCTGTATCTACCAAAAAATACAAAACGATTAGCTGGGTATGGTGGTGCAATGCATGCCTGTAGTCCCAGTTACTGGGGAGGCTAAGGTGGGAGGATCACCTGAGCCCAGGAGATTGAGGCTGCAGTGAGCCAGGATCATGCCACTGCTGCACTCCAGCCTGGGTGAACAAGTGAGATCCTGTCTCAAAAAAAAAAAAATTAAGATGAGAACTGAGAATTGACCACGGGATTTGACAGCATGAAGATATCTGGTGACATTGATAAGAGCAGTTTTGACAGAATGGTGGGATGGAAACCTGGTTGGAGTGAGTTTAGAAGAGAAAGTGAGAGGATTAAAACTGGAAGCAGTGCATATAAATAAAATTATTGTGAGGTGCTTTGCTTCAAAGGAGAGTAAATAAGTGGAGTGATAGCTAACAATAGAGAAAGGATCAAAAGAAAGTTTTTTAAAAATGGGACCGCATGTTTATATGCTGCTCAGAATGGTAGAGAGAGAAGAAAAAATTATTGGAGCAATATCTGTGAGTAGGTGAAAGGAATGAAAATTTATACACAAGTAGAAGAATGCAGACATGAAAATTTCATCGGTGGCGATAGGTAGCAAGACAGATACATGAATGCAGATACTAAAAGGTAAATGTAGTGGTGGGAACCTGTGGAAGTTCTCTTCTGAATGCTTCAGTTTACTCAGTAAATTAAGCAGCAAGGTCATCAGCAGAGAATAAAGATGGGGAAGAGCTCTGAGGTTGGAGCAGCAAAGCAAAGGTGTGAAAGGCATCTAGGAGCGTAGTTGAGGGAACGGAGTAGGGACATATAAACTGATTCTCTGAAAACATAAAGGCCCACCTGGGGCTTCAGAAAAGAACTCTGTGTCCAAATCATAGGGTAGTACTGGATTGGAATAGGCAAAACCTGGAGAATGGGAGGAACACCAGTTAGGAAGCTATTTTAGTAGCCACAAGAAAAAACTAGAGAGGGTTATCATCTAAAGTAGGGCAAGAACAGCTGGAGGACACCTGAGGACACAAATGTAACAGTTATTACAAAAGTGAAACCAATGGGATTTGGCAAGAAATTAGAAGTGAATGAGATAATCAATGAAGGGAAGACGGCCCTGTAATGTTGATTGTAAAAAAACTGAATATGGCAATGCCACTGATGAACTGGGAGAACTATTTCAATACTGCAAAAGGTAGTAACCAAATTGTCAGCAGCTTAAAGTAATGAGTATAATTTTTACCTATAGAGAAGAAAGATTTGAAAAGATAAAAAGTGTTAATAGTATCAAGGAATGTTTCTGTGTTTGTTGCTGTCATCATTGTTTTCAGTGATTAAGGACACCACGGTGATAAACTGAGGGGTATCTAGGTAATCAGAAAATACTAGCAATTAAAGACACAACAGAGCTTATTTGATAAAGGAAAGGAATGCTACAAAAATTCTGAATGACCCCAAAGTCCAGGTTTTTAACCACTACACAATACATGCTCTGTAAAATTAAGGGTCTTGGAAAGGTAGTGTAAATTGTTTAGCTTCTAAGGAAAACTTCAGAGTTAAAGAGCTTAGAGGTGGAATTATTCTAAAGGATGACACAGTCCAAGGTATAGTCATACCTATAATTAGCTAAATATATAAATGCAAAAGTCAGAGTTTAAAAAACAAGGAACTAAGAGCAAAAAACGTATTGAAGGGGCTATTAGCATAATAGTCGAAATCACCAAAATAAGTAGCAAGGGTAAAGGACAAAAGTATAGCCAGGTGCTATCATCAAGAAAGGTCAGCAGTAACAGACTTCAAAAGAGAAAAGGTTGTTTGTTGAAAGATGGTTTAAAGAAGAGAGCATGAAAGGAGCACCAGGAAAAAGGGTGCACCACAGAAGCAGTAAGAAGAGTGAAAAAGGGTAAAAGTGTCAGGACTTGTTTCAGGGGAATACCCAAAATGCCAGTTGTGGCTAGATGGAAGGAATAGTCAAGGAAATTTTTAAAGATAAAGGGAAATTTTGTTTGGATTCATTCAACAACTACCAACAAATATTTATTAAAGGCCTACTAACTCTTCTAGGTGTGGGAGATAAATCATGAGGGTAGCAGGAGAGGTGATGATAAGATGTTCCGTAGTGGGCACAGTAGGGTCTAGATTTCATTGATTCTTAATCTTTTATTTTGGTGTAAGGTGACCTTTGAAACTCCTGTGGACTCTTAAGTACAGATAAATAGACAACCACAAAAAATGTACAGTAACATGTGGGATATAATTTTGAATGAATGAATCACCAATCAAGATCTCTAGTTCTTCTCTGGTCAAATTAACCAACGTAATATGGTTTAATTCCTCATTTCTCCCCTCTCCTGCCATAAACTTCTGAATACTCAAAATATTGTATTCATTATCTAATACAGGAAATTATTTAGGCCACAAGCTATAAAACATAGGAAACAGGCTAGAAAATGTAGGTTGTGTGAATGTTGCTAACAGAACAAACTTGGATGAATTAATTTCTTTGTCTCTTCTATTGTTACTCTCTACCCTCCCAAGTCTATTTCATATACCCAACAAGAGACCTTGTGCTGTTTTCAGCAGAGGACATAGGCCTCTTTTGCTTTGTAGAAACAGACACACGAATCAGTTAGTTGAAAAACTGACTTGATGTCCTAGAGACTACTAAAGAGTAGAAAACAAAGATAAATAAAACTGCCTCTACTTGTAGGAGCTCACAGTGGAAGAGATAGACAGGTAAGGACATTTTTGCCAAGAGAAAAGAAAAATAAAAAGGATACTTTTGCTAATAGTTTTGTTATATCAAGTTTCTGGCCTCTTCTTTATGTGATATAAACACTGTCCATACAAACACACTTCCTTAAAACTCAGTGCTATTCCGGGCACACACATTTTAAAATTACATCAAAATTAGGGGTATAACTTACCATCATTTTTTCAAAGAGATCCAATACTTCCTTTTCTGACAAATTCAAAGATCGTTCATCATATAATGGCTGAGCTGCGGGAAACTCACTCATCGCGACTTGAGAATCAATAGGATGTTGAATAAGAGGTTTTTCTTTTTTGACAGTAGATTTTCTAAAACTTGTAATTCGGTCACGCTGCAAACAAAAATAAATAAATAAAAAGCCCTGAGAAAAAGATCAAGAACTACTAACATGAAGAATTGAAACATCAAAACGGTACTTAGTATAATACATATCATTATGGTCTTTTGACAAAATACTATTTTAAGCAGCAAGCTCCAGTTAGAGATTGCACTATTTTGAAACCCTGAAGTAGCTCTTCAGCCTCAGAACTCTGGGGGTGAAAAGTATTCTTCAAAAGTAAAACTTAGTCCCTTGTCATTTCTGTTTTGCACAGCAAATAAGTGAAAAAAAAAAAAAAAGTCTCGGATCAAAGTCCTGTTGGTTGTTTCAGGGAGAATGTGTCTTTGGTGGCAAATTTACAACTATGAAAAAAGAGAAAGAAACTAAAAAGAGCTACTGATATCCAATTCTAAGAGAAAATTATGGTAATGTTTTTCTCCTTCAAAGCTGCAAAAATTGTGACAAGTATATATGAATAATCTGTCAGTATAGCAGTAGAATGGTTAAGAGCATGGACTCAAGACAGATTACCGGGGTTTCAGTTCAAGCTCTGCCATTTACTGGCTGAGAAACCCTGTGAAAGTTACTTGGTCTCTCTGTTTCCTCATCTCTGAAATAGGGATAATGATATTACTTACACAGTAGGGTTATTGTGAAATTTAAATAAGTTAATATGTTTATTGCACTTAACTGCTATTTATTATTGTTGTTACTATTATTATTTTCCCCCAGTGTTTTCTTCCCTAAAATGTTGGACCAATGAGGAAGTAAAACAAAGATAAAAACATCACCTTTTCCATTTACTGGAAATATTATAAACAGAAATTTCTTATTCCTACAAATATTATGAAAAACTTGCTATTTTATGGATATTGACTTCGAACCATTGATTCCATGTAAAATCTCTAATTAATTAGCTTGCTATTTCACATAAAGTGAGTTAATGACTTCAGTTGCATGTAATTAGGATATTCTATTTTAAACCACAAAACATGGGACATCAAAAGTTAGTAATGTGCATAAAACTGAATGCAACTCAGTTTTATTATGGTTTCTGTTAGGAAGCACATGCACACCATCAAGTTCACATTAAACAAGCAGACATGTTAAATATCAGGACAGTATATCTTCACCACCATGTTACCAGAATCCTTATATAATTACTTCAACAATACAAAGAGCATCACAGAAGTTATTACCATAGCTTATGTAAAATTATGTGAACTCATTAATGAGCATACCTTTTATTTTATTAATTCAAAGAACACCTTTTTAAAACCAAAAAGTATACTTTGAAAGAAACGTGAGCAGTTTTAAGCAGCTTATTTAGGATTACAAAAGTAATTTGAGTATATGGTTGCTGACAAAGAGATTATATAAATCATAGTATTTTAGAGCTGAGAAGAAACTTGAAAAATAATCTAAACCAATCCCCTCATTTCCCAGAGAAGGTGACTTTCCTAAATCCACCAGTCCCTGGTTCCTATCCCAGTCTTCACATTAACTTACATTAACTTAAGATTCATTTCTTCTAATTCATCTTGAACTACATTTTCACATTTTCTTTTAACTTTTTGAGGGAAATTGTTGGTTTAGTTATATAGTATATCTTCAAACAACTCAAGAAAAAAGTTAAGTAATCCAAAATAAGCTGAGGATATATTCAATAGTCAAATTTCACTAAAAATATGGTGGACATGAAAGCATTTAAATATGCAACTGACAATTAAATCAACATATCTCTTCTCTTTCCCTTCATATCACTTAATATTTACTTTTCCAGTACTAGCCTTTTTACTGGGTAGCATTAATAACATATATATTTGATCTTCCACTGTGTCTTTCACTTTTTCTAGAAAATTAGCTTTTGATTTCAGCTTTTGATTATACCTTGGTAAGAAAATGTAGTTGGCCAGGCGCAGTGGCTCACGCCTGTAATCCCAGCACTTTGGGAAGCTGAGGTGGGTGGATCATGAGGTCAGGAGTTTGAGACCAGTCTGGCTAAGATAGTGAAACCCTGTCTCTACTAAAAATACAAAATTTGCCAGGCTTGGTGGCGGGCACCTGTAATCCCAGCTACTTGGGAGGGTGAGGCAGGGGAATTGCTTGAACCAGGGAGGTGGAGGTTGCAGTGAGCCGAGATCGCGCCACCGCACTCCATCCTGGGCGACGGGGCGAGACTCTGTCACAAAAAAAAAAAAAGAAAGAAAATGTAGTTAAGCCACATACCTTCATCTCCTTTGAACACTATCACTACTTTACAGTATTTGTAAATAGGTAATTTCACACAGGAAAAAAAAAAAATTGTCAATGTTTAAAATACTATTTTTTACAGTTTACCTATAAAAGGGTATATTTAAATTTTGAGCCCATAACTTTTAATAAGATATACTATGACAAATTCAGCTTTAAAATATTGGTTTTTAAATTTAGTAGCACACATCTGACCAACATAGTGAACTTAATTTCCTTTCTAATGGAAATTAATTTCCTCCAATATTAATGTTTAATATATTCACAATTTATTTGGCCATCAAAAAAGGAAGCATCTGTGTTTTCCAGAATTTAGATTCACGTGGAGATTTTAGAAAACTTTTGGTTAAGGTAAATATCAGGATGAAGATACGAAAATTCTGTTGGGATCTCATATAATTATTTATGTTAATATTCGAAAAGGAAGTCACTGAATTGACAATTACTCCATTCTACTATACTTTATAAATATCCAGACATTTCATATCTTACATATATCAATGCTTTTATGTCCACCCATTTTAATAAAAAGGCAACATGCATAAGTAATGTAATAACATGCTAAGACCACCTTACCACATCATCTGCCAAAGTTTTTATTTGAATGTTCTATTAAAACCAAAAAGGAACAAACAAAAAAAAACAATCAGATAAGAGAAATTCATAAATCAAACAATAAAATAATTTAATAATTTTCATTTTTATTAACTGTAAACAGTCAAACAGAATCAGAAAGTTCAAACATATAAACAATATATTCTTTAAAGAAAAAAACTTTTTAATGATTAAAAATGAAGGTTTGACAAAGGTGTATATATTTGTTTTTAAATATGGCTTCCAAGGTCCCAAATCAGATCCAGATCAGACGTCACTACCACAGTGCTGAAATGTGACAAAAGATACCACAAAATCATAAGCCCTTGCATGTTATATAGAAGTTTGGAAATGAATCCTCAAGTTAAGATACCTAAATTTAAAAAATAACAACATGTACAATAGGAAAAATGTCACATTTAACAAGAATGAAATATAATGAAACAGCTTGGCCTAAGAACTGCGTTACTCCTGATGGATATTTAAAGGACACTTTTATAAATATGCTAAATAAAATTGAACTTATTTTTTAAAAACTACCCTTATAAATAAATTAGAAATATTTTCAAAATATTCTAAATAAAATTGAACTTATTTGAACATAAAATTGAATATATATGAGCAATGTTATCTGAAAAATTTGAGTACAGCAATACTAAAGCAATACCTAACAATGTAGTTATCTTCCAGGATTCATGGAATAGTTCAAGACCTTATAATAATGTATGATGAGCATGAAATATAGTTTTTATTATAAATATGTTGAGGTGCCAATTGGGGTGTGATTACGAAAGAACCAGATTTTTTTTAATTGTCGGTTAGAAATTGAATTTAATGTTCTGCCAGATCCTATACATTTATTTCTTACAACAGAAGCTGAATAATGTGTATCAACTTGGTCATGCACGCTAAAAAACATAGGGTCTTCTCACTGTGGAGAGGATTCCATTATGAGTTTTAAGTAAATGAAAATTGCTTGGATCTCAGAAAATTGTCTTCAAATACCACTAACCCAATGCTGTTAAAGACCATCCTCCTCACATCAGCTGGGGCAAATATAGTATTCTATGTATAACTCTTTTTTTTTTTTTCTACTTTTAATCCACTGATTCCCTCAGGGATCTAAACTTCTAATCTCTATACCATGTCTTCATCACATCCTGCTGACACAAACCCCAATCAATCTTTACTGCCTAGGAAAAAAGTAGGAATTTTTTTTTTTTTTTTTTTTTTTTGAGACGGAGTCTCACTCTGTCGCCCAGGCTGGAGTGCAGTGGCGGGATCTCAGCTCACTGTAAGCTCCGCCTCCCGGGTTTAGGCCATTGTCCTGCCTCAGCCTCTGGAGTAGCTAGGACTACAGGCACCTGCCACCTCGCCCGGCTAGTTTCTTTGTATTTTTTAGTAGAGACGGAGTTTCACCGTGTTAGCAGGATGGTCTCGATCTCCTGACCTCGTGATCCGCCCGTCTCGGCCTCCCAAAGTGCTAGGATTACAGGCTTGAGCCACCGCGCCCGGCCAAAAAAGTGGGAATTATTTATATCAGAACTGAAACCACTTTAAGAAGGATAAATTCACCCTGCAACTCTCTTACCAGGTATTTTCTCCTTAATTTTTCTAGTGGGTTGTAGAAAACTGTTTTAAACACAATGGCCAATTTCATGATTTCCTGCAATACCAAATCAGAGAGAAAATGATAAAGTATCATAAGTACCTCAACTAACCCTGCTACCATCCCTATGTGTGCTTGTCCACCTGGGTTTTTGAGACAGATTATACAGTTCTTCATGCAACTACTGCTTTCCTTCTCTTCCCATCTTTTGGGGTTATAAACTCCAGGCTGGAAACCCATCTATAGCTCCAAAGCAAGAATGTATATGAAGGGAAAATACTTTTTGCTTTAGTCAAATTATCTAAGTTAAGGTACACATATGTCTAAAATGTTTCAAATCTGTATCTCAATTGAATACATGTTGACAGTTTAATCATGGGAGACAGACACAAGAAAAAAAGCATTGCTAGCAATATTTTCACTTGGTCCTATGGGATGAGACTGAAGTCTTCTCTTCCCCTCAGTACTCTTCTTTGGAATTAACATACTTTTTGTCTATAGTAAACCACAGAGTATAGAGGTAGAAACTATTCGAGTTAGATGGAATTTGAGATAATCTAGTCAAAGTCTCTCATTTTACAAACAAGAGGGTAACGTTTGTTAGTGGCTCCCCCTGCATTCCACTTGTCTAGGTTTAAGATTTCCACATCATGTTCTTCTTCCTCTCCTTCATTTCCAATAGCCAAGCAGCTATCCAGTCCCATGATAATCATTCTGCAGTCTGCAAAGATGTGGTTCAAGCCACCATCAGCTCTTAACTAAATTTCTGTAGTGACTTCCTAATCTAGCTCCTTGCTTCCACCTTTGCTCTCCTACAGTTAATTTTGAACACAGCTGACAAAGTGATACTGTGAAAACTGAAGTCACATCATGTCACTCCTTGGCTCAACACTTTCCAAGGGCCATATTTTCCCTCCTAGTGCAAGTCAAAGTCATTACAATGACCTACAAGGCCCTACTGAATTGTACACTCTCCATATCCCTCTGACCTCATCTCCTACTACTCTCCCTTCATTCCCCCAGCTCCAGTCACACTGACCACCTCACAGCTCCCCAATGAGGCAATAAGCCACATGCACTGGCTCTTCTCTCTGCCTGGAATGCTCTTTTTCCATGGTCCATATGGCTTACTCCCTCATCCTGCTTTCAAGGTTTTGCTCAGTGAGGCCTACCCAGGCCATCCTATTTCAAATGGAAACATCTGCCTCCCTCCACACGTTCCTGGCACTCCTGAACAAGATTTAGCACATTCTAACATAGTCTATAATTTACTTCATTATCATTATCTTGGTCTGTTTTTCCAACAAAAAATATAAGCTCCACAAGGACAGGGATTTTTGCCCATCTGGTTTAGGGATGTAACCCTAATGCCTAAAGCAGTGTTTGGCACATTGAGGCTCAATAAAGAGTATGAATGACTATCATACTCCCTCCTGTTCATAAATACTCAGTGCCTCCCGATGACCTATAAAGATGAATATCCTTAATATGGAATTCAAAGGCCTGTATGTTTCAGCCCTAGGCTACCTTCTACTTCTTCCCTTATGACCCCTATTCTACAGAAAACAAAAATTAAAATCCTCTTCCCAATGCATACTCCCATGATGTCCTGTTTGTGCCCCTACTGTTCCCTTTGATTGGGAATGCCCATTTTGCTATATACCATTTCTAATTCTAAAGCTGCCCTTGAATTGAAAGTTTAGTTGTTAATAAACCAAATGTGGACCCCTGGTCAAAAATAATACTGGAGAAGGAGTATGCTTTGTTTTATTCTTAAAGAATTTTTTTTTTTTCCTAACAGGCAACAAGAATGATAGAGTACCCCAAGGCACATAGGAAATTATACTTATGTAAAAAATTATCCTCACTACTTGTGATAGAGAAACATAAAGAAAAAACACCCCGCTCCTGATTTCTTGATTTGTAAATTTCATTCAACTAGAGTGGATATCCTGTATAACCACATACATGTAATACGAATATTTTCTCAGATTTCCCTCATGTAAAAATCTGCTTTCATAAATATAATAATACTATTTAAAGCTCTTCGTTATAACTGTTAAGAAAAAAGAACAAATATGGTCTATCAAAAAGGAAAAATTTTAAGCAGATATGAAGAGGCTGAATTTCAGAAGGGGTAATTTTTAGCCATTGTACACTAAACATGTATCGAAATCATTGTATAAGTTACGATTAAATGATCTGCAAACAAAATTAAAGCATTTCTGCCTCACAGATTTTTTTTTGAGATGGAGTCTTGCTCTGCCGCCCAGGCTGCAGTGCAGTGGCGCAATCTCGGCTCACTGCAAGCTCTGCCTCCCGGGTTCAAGTGATTCTTCTGCCTCAGTCTCCCAAGTAGCTGTGACTACAGGCGCCCACCACCACGTCTGGCTAATTTTTTGTATTTTTAGTAGAGACGAGGTTTCACCATGTTAGTCAGGATGGTCTCGATCTACTGACGTCGTGATTCGCCTGCCTCGGCCTCCCGAAGTGCTGGGATTACAGGCGTGAGCCACCACGCCTGGCCTTCTGCCACACAATTATCTTTCTATATTAGTCAAAAAAGAAAGGTATAAAAGGACTTGAGAATAACAACAGAAACACCCAAAAACTTTTTTTCATTTATAATGACGCTCTTCCAGAACAAACTCTCAAAATTAATTTATGTGGATGGGTGCATCTCTCTCACACCACATGCAAGTAAACATGGATTTTTCACTCCTTTGTACAAACACTACAGAGCTACTATGGAGTTTAAAAATTCAGAAACAAAAATGACCCCCCCAAAAATCTTTATTAGAGTCATACCCCTGAATTAAAAGCACTGATTAAAGTCATTTTCATAAGTTTTTATTATACAAATCTAATGATCATGCTCATTACAATGAGGGCGTATTGTACCAATAAGTATAGTGACCATAGATTTTCATTAAAATCAACTCTGGAAAAGCAATAAGGCTGTGCATTAGTCAAGCAATCAGAGTTTATTAAACTTCATTTATGATCAGCTATATTAAATATAACTTAGCACAGTATTATATGAATATTGTATACGTATAAAAGTATCACTCCAGAGTCTCAACCCCTTAAGACTAAGAGAAATGGCTGACTTACTTATAAACTCTAATGCTGAAGTTGTGATTGCAATGCAAGAGTCATTATTGTAAGAAAATTAAGTTTTAATTTTCTCAATCAGGCAGAAATTAACAAAAACAGCAAGATGTAAAGATTCAACTCTCTTATGGCTAATGTTACATGGTAATACAATGTTTTATAAACATCGTGAAATTGGACAACTAAATTGCATATAATTCAAAAGTCTCACCATCAACTCAAAAACGTATTCGCACTATTTGACTATTTTCTTCTCTTTTAAATAAAATGCATTAAGTTGGCCATTACAATA